GTACATCTCCTCTCCATCGCCAAAAGGATCGCCACACTTGGTACAACGGGCACAAGTCGGGTGAAAATGATGATTGTCACCTGCCTGCAGCACCTTTCCGCTGATGTAACGATTGCAATAGGCGCATTTCACACCGAACAATTTCTGGTAATCCTTCTCGCAATAAGGCACCCCGTCTCTGTCGATCAAAGTCGAGGAATTTCGTTCGTTCAAAGAAGCACGTTTGTTAGACAGTTTAGATAAGCGCTAATAGTTGGGTCTAATGAGTCCTAACTTTCTCCGATTCTAATCTAGACAAATCCCTGACGGTTTGTTCTAACTATCAACTAAAAATCAGCGAAATTTCAACTCATTTCTCGACTTATTTTCTAGACCGTACTTTCTCGGGTTTCTTTTTCGTCTAATACATTAAATATAAAAGTAATTTCTTCTATTCTTCCAAGATTTCACGAGTTATATGATTTTCAACTGAAAGAAACTTTCGACAAGATCAAAATGAAAAGTAAACGTACTGGAATGTATGAGTTGATGAGAAAGTTCGATTTTTCATTCTGAGATTAAGATAAACAATTTTAAATAAATGGAACATTACGCGCATTGGATAATATATTCTACTTTCGTCTGAATTTTTAGAAATTAATTTACATAAAGCAATTCTTGCATTTCTGTTTTCCAATTACAAATAATTTATATAATATAAATTTTAGAAGAATGATTTCAATACTTTGATTGACAATATCAATATTATTTTCCCAATAATAAAATATTTAACGCAATAATATAAAGGATAATAATAATTATGCAAATATAACTCGTGTTAGATTAGAACGATATTTTTACTCACTTTCCCATATACTCTCCGTGAAGGACGGTGTCACAGCTGTGACATTTTAAACACCATACGTGCCACTGTCGATCGAGAGCTACCAAAGCCTGACCTTCTCGTAATTGGTTTCCACAACCAGCGCAGGCACCGGGGTCGGAGGGCCCGTCTCCGGATCCTCTGGTGGCGGAGCTATTCCCGATTGGCGTCGAGGCCTCTCGGACAGGGATACCGACGCATCGGTGGCAAAGAGCTTGACCTATAGACAACGCTCTGTTAGTTGAGATTGGACAGATCCGGTCGACGATCCGCATACGCTCCGCATTGTCTTTTATTCGAGAAACGAACCATAGATCCCGTATCTTCGCGGCTGATTCATCGTTGCAACGCGCAATACCAATGGTAGAAAAGGAGAAGCGTTCGTCCATTCGTTGTTTTCTCTTCGCGTATAAATAACCAAACCGATTCCAGCTTCGCCGATCGATACGATCGATCAATTTCTCACGGTAATCGGTAAACGTTCTCCCAGTTATCGTCTCAATTTTCTTGGAACGCGCGTACGCATCCTTCTAATCGAAGAGTTCAAAGATCGAGAATCGAAGCTGCACGCAGTAGTATCGTCTTATTTGCGGTATCGTTTAAAAATAAGCGGCATTATCGTTGTCCTCGATCGGCCAGATCGATACAACAACGGTGGTAGAAGATGCGCATAAATATTTGCACGAGGAAACAATGAGGAGAAGCGAAACGGAGCAAGTTTAACTTGCGATACGCTCGTTTCGACGCGTGCGTATTTTTAAGCGTTCACCGCGTAATCGTTACAAGGCCACGTGAGCGTAACCTCGCTCACGATACACCTAAGTGGTAATTTGCCTTTAACAGGTTTACCGGTACTCCAATTCTGACGATCGAATCGCAACCAGCGAATCTTCGTTCTCCTTTCGAGTTTAAACCGGATTGTCCTCGCTCAAGTATTTACAATTAGAAATTACGATTAGACTCGATTAGATTTTTTAGGAAGTGCATTTTTTTAAGAATTTATTTAAGAAGTATCGTGTCCATCTCGATGGTTTTTTTCCTGAAACGATTATTAAAACAGAAGGTGAATAATTTCGATGGGAAACGCACCTTGGACGAGGGAAACCTTGGTCCCCTGTCCGAGTAACGGTTGTCTGCATCGTTGGCAGTGGAAACAGTTGGGATGGAAGGCATGCTTGTCTCCGGCAGTGACCACGTCGCCCTCCACGTATTCTCCACAGCCCGCGCACTTTGTTCCCCACCGTTCCCTGTAATCCTGAAAAATTAAAAAGCCCACACGATCGTTACGAGCGATTCGCCAGACATCGCATCCCAGAGCGAACGCGTGAAATATACCCTTCTCAACGATCTTCGCAGTCTCGTTTGTCATCGCATGGAATGGTTTATTTGCTCACCAAGATAAAACCAAGAGGAGATTGAGGAGGAACGACGAGAAAACTTTCTAACGAATTTTACGCGCGATTTTATCGAGACTTTTTGAAAAGGTGATATACCGCTTCTTCCGAATGTTTTAAAAACAAAAAAAAAAAAAAAAAAACTTGAAACGAAAGAAGGAAAATAA